TCCCAGGCCCATTTGTGGTGTCGCCAGCATCCAGCCTGTCCTAAGCGTCCATGCGCCCCTCCTGCAGAGCTCCCCTGCACACCTGCCCCCTCTCCCCCCTCAGACAGCGGTGACCATCCTCCCCGGCACTGCCATGGGGGAGGCCAGTCCACCACAGATGCACCTCACAAACCCCGCACCCCAACCCCAGTCCCAGCAGCCCAGCCTGGAGCAGAACGGTATCCTGGACTGGCTTCGTAAACTACGGTTGCATAAATACTACCCTGTCTTCAAACAGCTAACCATGGAGGAGGTACATGACTTAAAGTGGCTCTTTCCCTTGGTATATATAAGATAAGTGATTAAAATTATTGGAAGAGCTGTTTAGGGAACAGATTTCAGATATTGCAGCCAAGAAATACATATTTCCTTCCTGACATATTTCTCCCACTACAACTTATCTAAATTATGATCTCCTTATTCACTTTCTCAGTTCCTTGCTCTCACAGAAGAGGATCTCAACAAGTACGACCTCACTCAGGGGGCCAAGAAGAAACTAAAGACTCAGCTGGAGCTTCAAAAGTGAGTGTGATTTGTGCTTAAATTCTGACACCAGTATGTTTGATCTGCATGCATCATGCCATAAATAACCTCAGAAACATTCAGGAGTTCTTTAAAGGAAATTACTTCTGCCATGACAAATGAAAAATGTACTCCAACATCTCTGCATAAAATTCAGTTTACCATCTACTTTCCATGGGTATAAATAGCGCTTTGTTAAATATGCCAGGTAAAAGAGTGTTGTGAATAGGTACAATCAATAATTAACCTAATTAGCATAGACAGGAACTGTGTTTGCGCTATAAAGGATGACAGTGACACTGGTTAGCTCATTTAGTGCCTAATCAATAGTGAATAAGACTATTTAGTAAATCACTCTGGATTTTCAATTTTTTACTCAAAAGCTGAAAAATATGTAAAAGGTCAGTAAATTATAATATACACGGACTACCATTCGAAGGTTTGGGGTCTGTAAGTTTCTGTGTTTTCAACTTTGATAATAATAATAAATGTTTGTTGAGCAGCAAATCAGCATATT